CAGTGGAGAGCCGCTGCATCTTTTCTGCCAGATCTTTGGCATCTACTCCATGTCCATTGTGCTGAAAGCTCTTCCCCAGACATTTGGAAATCTGAACAAACACAGCATCTTTCCAGCTAAGTCACAGGACCATTATCACACACGCTTATACGTGACAGGTATCAGTTAATAGCCACAGTTATATATAAGAGGCATTATACCTTTTTCTCCAATTCATCTTTGCTGAAACCCAAAAGTCTGAGGAATTTAATGCGGGCTTCATCCTCAAAATTAACCTATAAACAGAGAAGTGAATTAGCTCAAAATGACACACTGACTGTCAAACTTGATGTTGTGTCTCTATATCAAGAGGACGTGAGGGCCCACCAGAAGGAACTTCCATATGTCCTGCTCAGCATCTGATTTGGCGTTCTGAATCTTGGCCTGGCAGTAGTTGTTGAAGGAGCCTGACTGCAGCGCTGCCTGCAGCTCCCTGGAGCGCTGGAGGAACTCTGTCTCTGTGGTAACCTGGCTCACAAACACTTGTCTGGGGACGGGCTGGGGGCTCTGCACTGGAGGCAGCTTGGGATTCCCAAAGGTTATCAGCTTTCCACCAAACTGAGGAAAAAAAACCAACAGATCAGTTATAAAGGAAATTACTTTGAAAATGTAAGTGCTTTTTCCATTAATATGAAGCTTATAAAATATTTTAATGTTGCACTTACAGCAAAGGAAGCTCCTACTGGTCGGCGCACCCACTTAGGCGGCTTCTTCAGAGGGGGAACTATGGTGTCCTGCACTGTAGGCTGAGGAACCTGTAGGGGAGGCAGCACCTGCCCTGTACCAAAGGGATCCATTGCATCAAATGAGGAGGAAATCTGTTAAATCAAATATTAAATGTTATAACAAGCACAAGTCTTTGGGGGTAGAGCTGAAACAATTAGTCAATTAGTTAATCAACTAAATTAATCTGCAACTATTTTGAAAAAAGATTAATTGGTTAAAACAATGTCTATCCTTCAAATTCAATGTTATATTCACTACATGTAGGGAGACAAAGTAGTCTCCCAAAGTATCATTAGTCAATGTCAAATCCTGTCACAACAGCACCATCTTGTGGACAAACAATACAGCTCAGCAGACAGCCTTTGGGATTAAATACATCACAAGAATAGCAGTTACCTTATCAGCTGTACTTTGCTGCTGAGCCTTCAAGCTCCCCCCCATCACAGAGTACACAGTGATTCTCCCATCAAATGAGGCGGCTGAAAGGAGGGCTGGGTTCCTCGGGCACCACTTGATATCAAAACACCACTGGTTCGTTGTTGGAAGCTCATAAATGACCTAAAATGAAGGAAATGCCACTTGTGAGGCTCCATAGCACTGTCATTAAGTCATAATAATGAGGTGAGGTATAACAGGTATAACATAGAAGCAGTAATTAATGTCATATACCTCTCCAGTGTTTGGATTCCAGCAGAGGATCCGGTTGTCTTTAGCACTACTCAGCAGGAGCTCAGGGTCAGCCTGGCTCCAGGATATAGACAGAATTCCCCTGTAAGAAAATACCAACAGAAGGTACATACAGTATATTCTGAAAGATGACCAAAAAAGAGAAATGAGCATGACAACAAAATGTTAAAGCCCCACCTTGTGTGGTTCTCAAAGACTTTAAGGGGTGAGGTGGCAAAACGGAGGTCCCACATCTGGATGACTGGCAGTCGGTCATCTTCAGAAGCCAACACCAACTGGGTGGCCACATCAGGGTGCCAGAGCATTCCTGAACAGTGCATCTGAAATTGCACAACAGATGAGATTTTCTACCTAAATGTTCATTCTAATAACATCTAATTTATTCAGTTGATGTTGGATTTTTTTCACAGAATACATGATGATCAAAAACACTAAAACCTGAGCCTTAAGAGGCAAAATCTGAGACATGAAAGCTGTTAGAGGAGTTTAGTGTGGGGTGGCTGCTGTGCAGGTGTGCTGGACTGTACTGAAACTAGACAGCAAGTGTCAAATAATATGTTTTTCATTATCATAGTAAGTTGGAATGAAGAAACAATATCAGTAAAAATGTTGAGCATTTATCAAAACAAATGAAGGATAAATAAAAGAAGCAGCAACAAAAGTGCAACCCTGCCAAACATTTGTTTAGCAAGATTCACTATTATTGGGAGTATTTTTAAATCAAAAATGACAAATTGTTCATTTTCAATGGACTGAGTACCTACGATACTGTAGACAATAATAATTCATTTGTATGTGTTTGTCTTTGTAATCTAATTGCAAGCCAAGAAGCAGAAGAAGATGGTATGCCAACTGGCCTGTCTGCTGTAATTTTATTGGCCGACGGTCAGACTCTGCATTGATCGCGGTAGAGTGGCCAATTTGTCAAACCAAACAAAGCCTAAGAAAAACTATGCAAATGTTCAATCATCTGAAAATGAAGTGTGGCAGATGCGTCTTACTGATTGATTTATGGAACACAGACATGCAGTGATTTGGCAGACGGTAACTTTGGACTTGGCTGTGTATTACAGACACCAACCCTGTTGCTGTGGTCACTGATCTTGATGATGGGCTCATTCTTTCTCAGGTCCCACACAACGGCTTTCCCACTGGGGTTGGCGGAGGCTAGGATGTGCTGAACCTGCCTGTTCCAGGAAACAACACTGATGTCTTCAGCAGGCTGAAAGAAGAGACAAAGGTTGTAACTGTCAAAACAAAGCTGACTGTGAGACAAACAGAACCCTGATATTTAAATGATAATACTACAAGGCTTGTGCAATGCAAACACTGCAGGTACACATTTAAATGACCATTTAGAGAAAGCTGCTGATAGTGATCAACATATTCAGCATGATCATTTTATAAAGAAAATGTCCATGTGACAAGGCATCATTATTTCCATTATATAAAAGGGCAGTCACACACACACTACATGAAATTGAAACCATAAACACAACTTTCTTGTGGCTTTCATTCTTAACTCAGATATGAAACAACAAAGGTAAAGAAACAAGGACAAAGCTGCCTGTTGGGGGCTGTGGTTTCTATTATGTGTTTTGACTCAAACTGTAAGTGGGTCAGGATCAAAATAACAAGTCAAACCATCCCTCAGAACAGACATGTGAAATTCATTAAACCTCTGATCTATCAGCTACACACCCACCTGTGCCTTTGCTCCCGGTGTCATTGGACTGCTAAAGTTGTTCAGATCCCAGATATAGATCTCTGAATCATTTGCTCCTGATGCAAGGAGATTACTCTGGGAGAGGAAAATTGAGAAAAATCAATAATGTGCACTACAGTACCAGGAAAGTCCTGCTGTAAGGCGGTCTCTAAGGACTCAGAAGAATTTAACTGCAGATTTACCTGAAAAGGGTTGAAATCGAGTGCTCGGATCGGTCCTGTGTGTTTGTCGGACTGACCCACTATTGCTTCGGCTCCGGAGTTCATTATGACCTCGGGGTTATATACAGTTACTGTACCATTTTCACTGCCACCAACCAGTCTCCCTCCAGCACCATCTTCTCCCATTCCAAAATCCACCCATACGATACTGTGCAACCTATGGAATATTAAACGTATAGGGAGTTATTTCCTATAAATGACATATGTAGTCAAACCTACAGTGGCTGACGTGGACGTGGAGGTAGAAAAAGTGTTGCTTACAATCCAACAAAATGTATCTACAAGTTACCTGTTTGTGGTGGGTAATGACCCTTTGAGCTGCATTTCCAGAGAGGGGTCAGAAAAATCCACCTCAAATATCTCTAGGGCAGCTGTGGTGTTGAAAGAGGCATCAAGCTGTTGTGCTGATGTTCCTAAGGCCAGGTAGATGGGATGATGTGCGGCAGGACTCCACGCCTGATGGGCGGTCCTCTGGATCTCCTTCAGCCTCATTTTCCGCTACAAGTTCCAAGTCCTAGACAGGCGAACCGAGCCCGCTAAATTAAAAGATTATACATGTCTTGGACTGACATTGGCTGTAACTTACATGCTTCTTTAAAAGGCAGAACTGTGACACACAAAATCTGGATTCACAAATCAAATATTCTTACTTTATAACTTGGCTCCAACAGGGTGCCACCCTTACTGACAGATTGCCACCGACTATTTCCTGAAACTGCTGGCTATCCGTTCGTCCATACAGCCAGCTTCCACCCGTGTCACAACATATTTGTATAACCATTATAGGTTAACTACATCGTAGTTAATTGGATGTAGTTTACCGGCGATTTTATCTACATTATAATATCGCCACGCCACTTAGAAAATGAATTTAACGCAAGCTAAGGTTAACCTGATATGCAGTTATGCTAACGTTAGCATTAGGTTTCACAGCCTTACCGTTAGCTTCGGTTAGTTTATAACATTATACACACAATATCCGACATTATAGGCATTAACTATCACTCGGAAAGTTTTAGGGGACTCACTAACTTCTTATGCATGCCACTAGATAAGTGAGAAATCATATGAGTTAGTGAGTTACCGCCTTATCTTGCAGATAGTGTCGGATTGTCAGGTCTCCAGTGCATAACCGGAGCCACTAGCGAGGAAGCTAACAACTCTGACAGCCACCACCCTAGTTACCACATTTCAACAGAAACGAGAGACACTGTGTATAAATCACATTTAAACCCAGTCAAATAATAAAAATCAAACTTAAATATGTTTATGAGAGCAACTCACGTAAACTGTCTACGCCACAGCCCGACTGTCCGCATCCACAACAAACTGCAGCACTACTTATCAACCAAGCTAGCAGCTTAGCCGCAGGCGGATTCCTCGACCAAAGTGCTCTGCCGTGTTGTCACTACGCTACGGTAGCCGACACGGACATTTCTCATTTGGTGGTGCCCTAAGGTAACCCCGATGTCACCGTTGACCCAACGAAAACTGATCATTCATAACGAGGGATCAAAGGATTTTTTTTTTTTAAATGCTCCTGCAAGATTCATTTTATTTTATTTTATATTATATTAAAAGAAGAACAACACAGCTGGGAATTGAACTGTTAACATGTTTATTTTTGACAGAAATATACATAGTAGAATCAGATTTAGTCATTAGATTTCATAATTTGTGACTTCCTCTGGTTGTTTTTCCGGATCGCCTCCTCTCTCCAGGTACAAGTTGTTATAAGGATACTGTTTTGGTGCCTGGAAGAGAGACAAATGCTTTATTAAAAATGTCCACGCTATTAAATCAAAGATACATTCAAAAGGCATTTCATCTACAGGTGGCACAGCACTACAAAAGATGCGACATTAAAATACTCAAACTGAACTACTATGCATGCATTTCATTATGATTCGTACTGCTCTTTTACATTACATCAGTCTTGCTCACATTGCAATGACATGATTAAAAGTATTCACAAGTATGAATACAAAGATTTGCAAAATTGAGGATGGGGGCTGCTGGGAAAGAGCAAATACAGTTAAAGTTAACTTAGTGTAAAAAACACACAAAAAAAACTTGTTTAACTGGATAACTTTGTAATCCTAAAGTCTTAGCAGAACTTTTCAATATCATGTCCAATCTGCTCATTAAACAGCTGTGTTTTCTTGAACAGTACAATATGTTTTGGATAGTGGGTCCAAGAAATATGACAACATCACATAGCACTGTTATGTTGTATTATCCTAACATGCATAATGCAATTACGCTCTCAATAAGTCTCTGTACATCTTTCAAAATGCAGATATTAATGTATATACTTAACAGAACAGTTACGATCTACACTATATGTAAGACAAGTCAAACTTGACATAAATGAGCAACTTCTACCCTGACTTGTTGGTAAGGTGATACACAGAGGCGGGAAAAAGTGGAGATTTAAATAAAAGAAAAAAGAAAAAAATGAGAAGGTGACATATATTTAAACCATATGACATCCACAGGTTTTTTACTGTACCTATTAATCTGATACTGTGGACAGGAATAAATCATAGCGTTGATCTGTACTTACAACGGGTTGGTAAGATGGGAATTTCTCCCCAAGGTAGAACATCAACAGCATGAACCCGATGTAGCCAAACAGATATTTGCACATTTTGGGCCAAGGTACAATGGTGGGAGATGTATCCACACGGTTCCGGATGTACATGTCAAAATCCCAGTGCATCTAAAAATAGACAGAACAATCACAGATGGTTATAACGACTTATATCATCATCTAAGGAAACTGGTGATTGTACAGAGGCTTGTGAGGAGAAAGCAGTGTTTTTTGTGCAATCAAGCTCAATACTTTCTTAATATCCAAAAGTAATAGTGTCTATATAGATGATGTAATTATCTAAAGTTACAATGTTGCTTCCAGACAGTCTAAACACAATTATACATGTACAATCTTCAGATATTATACAATATTATGTAGGTGTTCTGTCCTTTTTATAGCAATACATAAAACTATAAACAATATTGATATGGATCTGAATATGAATTTTACAGCTGGTACCAAGACATGCACTGAGTGGGATGCTGTTTTAAAATTACAGCAAACATAATCAGTTCTGGGGCCCATTTTACAAAAACAATTTGTAAGCACTTGCTGCAAATTTGGGCTGCATGATATGATAAAAACATCATATTGCAATTGACGATAAAAGGGAATGATAATTTTTTGACAAAACACAATTAAAAATCACGATAATGTAAAAACAAACATGTTTTCTTAAATCTGGAGAACCACGGCACTTCTGCAGCACAACAGTACCTAATCTTAAGGCTGTTTTGTCACACGTTTGACCTTCATCGAAAAAACATTACAGCTCTTAAGATTTGCATACTTCATATTTGGATAATATTTTAATTAATTGTGCAGCATTATTGCAAACGGTGGAAGTGTCATGCTTCACTCATTCATGCTGGTCCCAAGTATGGTGCTTGTTTTGATGAGTGAAATGTGTCAGAATAAGCAATGAGAAAATAATTGAATGTTCATTCATATCGGCAGAAATCAGCCTGGCCAAGATATGGACTGCACATAATACACCTGATATCACATATATAACTCATTGCAATAGCAGGGAATTAAGTCATCAGTATCTTACCGGCTCTCCCCAGTTTCTCCTCAGGTCAGGGTGGTCCCACTTGTACCAGGGATCTCTCTCATGCTGTGATCTATCTGGTAGCTTTGGATAATCACCATACCTACAGAAACACAAGGAAAACATACAGTCAGTCATCTATGTAACTCACTCGTTACTGCTGTGGTTCGCACAGTGTTGACCATATCTGGCAAACAACAATGCACTTTTCGTAACACTGCAGAGAAAACAAAAAACAGCTTAAACTGCTATGAATGGCAGGCGTATTCAACATAAAGCTCACCCCTCGCCGTTGTCGGGATACGGTTCATAGTCCTCAACCCTCATGTTGTACTTCTTCGCAGCAGCAGCTCTCTCCTCGGGGGTCTTCGGGTAAGGACCCGGTATAACATCCTTTGACCCACCAGAGGCTGAAACGCAAACAGTAACACATGTGAATAAACTAAGTTATAAATCCCCACAGCGATACAGAATGAAGAAACGGCACTGTTGTTATTATTATGTCCGCCTTCACCTCTCATTCACAATAATAGCCGCTCAGTGCAGCGCGTAGGCTAACCTTAGCATGTCAAGGTTACGTCTATTCGATGCTTTTAACTTTAAACTCGGACTCGTATCTTAAGAGAAATTAATCAGAGAGTAGGACCAAAAGCTGTAACACTACTGACCTGCTCTACATCCCGACAAAAGGGCTGAAATCCCAGAACCTTTCCCTTTAGAAAGGGCTTTGGCCCACCGTCGGAAGCCAACAACAGCCATGTTTACTGGCTGCCGCTGTCTGACAGACTGAGAAGTACGCATGCGCAAGGTTGGAAGTATGGGTCCGCATAAGGACCAATTCATACTAATAGGCTGTATAAGACTGCTGAGTGACCCATTACACATATTAATGGTATAATTATATCAAGAGTGACCACAAAATCAACCACAACTACTAGAATATTTATTTCATAGTGTTTTTATTAATGTTTTTATTTATTTTTGAGTAGCAGACACCATCAAAATAGAGAAGAGTGTGACGGAGACATGAAAACTCATCCAGTGGCTGAAGGGAACCAATATCTCAGAGTGAATGCACTGAAGCCCTGAGGCCTGTTCCTCTTCCCATCAGATCCAGCTCAGGTGCACAGGTGCATTTACTGGGGGATCGTCACTCTGCCACCGGTGACAAATTGAAGAAAAATCCATCAGAGAAGTTCTGCTATGTCCTTCTCCACTTTCCCAATGGGGCAGTGAAGTTCATACCTGCAGTAAAGGGAAAACATTAGCGCCACTATAATGATTAAACCCATGCCTGAACAAATTAAGGGCTAAGTGGGTTTTTAACTTGAGGTCTGTGGTCTATAACTTCACCTTTTGAAGGGCATGCCATCTGCAGTGATTAGGAACTTTTCAAAATTCCAGCGAATGTCATTGACTTTGATTGGGGACCAGTAGAATTTCTTTATATCTCCAATAACAGGGTTCACAAATGGCAAAGATTCCTGTGACGAGCAAGAAATTACAATGTGTCTGGGTTTTACAAGGCAAAACAGCTGCAGTACTGACAGCACAAATGCCATCCATTAATCTAATATTTCCAAATCATATGCAAAACACACTACCTTCAGATAGGTGAAAAGAGGATCTTCATTTAATCCATTCACCTCAACCTTGCCAAAAACAGGAAACTTTGGCACAAACCCCCCACCAGGTCTCACATACTTAAGAACATTGAGGGTTTCATGATTCACCTCTGGAAAAAAACAAAACGAAAGGGATTATAACTAATATGTTTTAAACATAGGGGTCATGAAAACCATAATGTGTATATTTACAACTTTGTCTTCAAAATAACTTGACAAAAGTTTACCATACAGCATAAGCATGTACATTAGACAATGTATGTGGTGGAAGAAGTATTCAGATCCTTTAAGTTAAAGTACCTACACATTCATATAAAAAAAATACTCTATTACAAGTAGGAGTACAAGTCCTGCATTCAAAATCATACTAAAAAAAAGTATTTTCTGAAAAATGAAACATTACTAAAAGATCAAAGTAAAAGTACCCAGGCCCCTGTAACAGATTTGTATACATTACATTAAAAGATGAGTGATGTATCAACACAATACATGTAAGAAGTTTAGAAAAGAAGTCACTCTTTCACATCTGAAACTAGGGGGAAAAAAGCAAAATAAATGTAGAAGAGAAAAGAGTACAACATTACCCTCTTATGTGTAGTGAAGCAGGAGTATAAAGAAGCATATATTAAAAAATAAATTGAAAATCTCAAGTAGAACTTGCTATTAAGTACAGTACGTCAGTAAATGTAAAGTACTTTTATTGGTACAGTATATTACCAGGTTAATAATTTATTATATCTGTCCTATTTCAAGAGCTTCAGTGTACCTACCAGGTGACTGAAGACCAAACTGGTTGCAGGAGAATCCAAGAACAGTAAAATTGAGGTCGCCGAACATTTCCATCAGTGCATTCAGTCGATGGTACTGAGGGAAAAGGACACAAAGTCAAATCCCTTTAATAAAAATGACTTGACTGACACAGATTATGTGTTATGAGATAATGTGCTCCGACCGCAATCGTTCAGAGCTCTCGCAGAGTCTTACCTCCTCTATTGTCGACCCTCAGAAGGTGGCAACGTTGATGATGAGAAGCACCTTACCCCTGAAGTTACTGAGCGGAACCTGCTGTCCATCCAAGGTCTCAGCACAGAAATCATAGATAGATTTATTCGCCATGCTTGTTCTGTAGCTTGTATATGGGATTGTAGTCAGTCAAGAGTGAGTATTCACCCAGCTATCCTGTTGGCTCATCTCATTCACTGAAATATAACTCATGGCTCAGCAATTGTTCAGCATGACTGACTTCATTGTTCTCCTGGGCAGAGGTGAGCTGGCAGAATGGTCATTTGTTCAACATGTATTCCACGAAAAAAATAAAATAAAAGCTAATATGGTGACAGCTAATTGGCATTAGGAAATTAAATATTAAAAATAAACATTATGGATCTGCAGTGGAACACTTATTTTGTATGCACAGTTTCCTCTTTTTAAAAGTATAAGTACTATACTACTATTTTTTTTGTTTGTGATAATAGCTGTTTAATTATGAGATAATTTGTTCCATAGTCTGAAATCAAAGTCTAAAAGTTACTGCACAGAGTAATATACACAGTAGGTTACATAGGCTACTTTGTGACCAGTTATTTGATTCATAAGCGGTTAACATTGTTTTGTTAGTAGGGCAATTTTAAAATATCATCATTAAACCAACCAATGCTGGCAAATGCATGATAATAAAAGTAAAAGAGGTCTCTATGGAACTTTTAAAAGAGTTATTTTATATACAGCAAACATATATGTCAATTGCCTTAAACGTGATCTTTGACGTAAACCCGGAAAATTACAACTGCTGCGTTCAGTTGTTCCTCGTAAACGCGTCCATCCTATTAGACCTAAATAGGACGTCTTCAACATTTAGGCTAAGCAGCATAATTTTTGTAGAAAACGATAACAGTTTCTCTCTCTTAAAGGTTGGTGGTAGTTGTTTTAGTTAGCAAGTCCTGTGGCGCGTTATTTGGCAACTTCATGGTTTATAAAGATAATAAAAAGGGGAAAATAGCCTACAAGGCAGCAAAAACAATTTTAATGTATGGGTGTTAGATTTTTTCCATCAATTCTTGGCTCTAGTTTTCCCTGAACGCCATATTTGTCAAATGTATAACATTATCTGGTAGTTTATGTGACATTCTGCTCTAAATAAAATACCTTACTACAGTACCTGAAGGCAGCATTGGGTTTTGGGTTACACCTCAAACGCTCGCAAGATGCTAAAGGAAAATACGATATTTTGGCATCTATGTGAAGAACAACACGTCCTTAAAAACTCTGTATAACATAGCGGACTCAGAATGGACGAAGAAGCTAAGATACGAACGTAAGTGCCCTTTAAAAACGGGAGTTTTGTATTTAAAAAGCAACTGGATTGGTGGCCCCGGCAGGCTAGCTTCTCAGCTAACAGCACTAGCTTGCGAGTAACAACAACCAAGTGAGAGAGGAGGACGGTTGTTGTTGCTCCCGTTTATGTATGGCAGCTAACTTCGGTTTAATTGCATATTACAGTGAGACGGCTAATGTAACAGGCTTTACTGCTAATGCAATATTTCTGTCATCATTATTGCATTTAAAGCGTTTGTTAACATTGTTTTTAAGGTTGTTTTCCTTTAAACCGCTAGGGTTGCATGCAGTATCAAAGTTCAGCTGTTAAACAAGGTTTGCATTTCTTCAGCAGATGTCAGCTTTTGGACTTGCCCTGGGAGGATGTACTTATTCCACATATTTTATGCTATTTGCCACTGCAACACCTTGTCAGCCTGCAGAGGGTGAGCAAGCAGTTCCACAGCCTCATCCAGGTGTATCTAACCAACTGCAGGACTTTTGATCTGACCTCGGTAAGTCCTGATTAGTACCAGTTTTAATAACCTACATATATATTTATTGAAAGATATGTTTGATAGGTATGGTTTGTTATCTACTCTATGTTTACAGATTGGACCATCCATTCCCAAGGAGGCGTTTTGCTCCATGTTAAAGGACAACAAAGTTCTCCATAGCCTGTCACTTCAGAACTGTTCAGACTGGGTGACAGACAAGGAGCTGCTGCCCGTTATTGGCCAGAACCAGCATCTGCAGAGAGTGGACATGAGCGGGTGTGTTTGTCTCACCCGCCACTCTCTAGTGGCAGTGTCCTTGAGTTGCATGCACCTCCAGCACCTCGGCCTGGCGCACTGTGAATGGGTGGACAGCCTGTCCCTGCGCAGCCTGGCTGACCACTGCGGGGGGCTGCAGTCGATCGACCTAACCGCCTGCCGCCAGCTCAAGGACGACGCCATCTGCTACCTGGCCAAGAAGTGTTTGAAGTTGAGGTCTCTATCGTTGGCAGTCAATGCCAACATCACTGACGAGTCTGTGGAGGAAGTGGCCAAGAACTGCAGGGGCCTGGAGCAGCTGGACCTGACAGGTTGCCTGCGGGTCAGGAACCAGTCCATCAGGTATATTCTATCTTATTTTCAAGTATAATCCAGCTAACTTTGTGCCATTCCACCACCTCACTTGTGCACCCATCCATAAGATCCTCTGCATGCTGTGCTCACAGGACTCTTGCAGAGTACTGCCCGAAGCTGCAGTCCCTGAAGGTGAATCACTGTCACAATGTGACAGAGTCAAGCCTGGATCCTCTACGGAAACGTAATGTAGTGATAGATGTTGAGCCGCCCTTGCAGAGGGCTCTGGTACTTCTTCAGGACGTGCTGGGGTTTGCACCCTTTATCAATCTCCAGATATAGCCAAAGGGCCATCTGTCTGTCCAACAAGAGCACACAGGTAGGTAATATGAGCAGTATATCTACTGTATGAGCTTTTGACGTGTTTATATCCAAAACTGTCTGTCAAATATCCAAACAGGGCTAGAACTGTGAATTTATTACCAGTCTATTTACAGCAGATAATGATGGTGACAGTCAATCAGTTGTAATCGATATTTGTTACAGGTGTCTTCATCATCAAAGTGGTCGCTTTAAGCTGCATCACAAGGACACGTGCGTTGCTCTAAAAAAACGTCAAGACAATCCGAGAAGACCTGGATGTTTTGCACTCAAGTTTGAGTGTCAAAATAATGTTGATAAAACCACTCACTGGACTGTGATCAATGATGCATATTTAAGATGAAACTGAAAAAAAAAAGTCTTCATTTGTGACTGAAGCCATGTACTTTTAAGAATTGCTGCCTCATGTCCAAAAGATGTCTCTGCACTATTTGTTGATCATTCAGTGTTGTAATAATGTGGGTTTATAGAAAAGCAGTTCTAACCAAAGTACAGTGTATTTGTTTTGTTGGTTTTTAAACAAAGTACATATTATACTTTGTGTATATTACATTTTAAGAAACTTTTGTCATACGTTTCATTTAGAAACATAAAAAAAAAAAATGTTTGAGTTTAATTAAACATGTCATTTTGCATGTACGTGCCTGCCTAAAGGAACAATTCACCCAAATCGCACAAAAACATTTTCTCACTTTGCACCAGCTTTGTCGAGCAATTTGGTTTTATTTGTTCATGTTTTATTATTTCCACTACAGCGACTTCTTCTGCCACCACAATATAATAAAGGTTAATGCAATTTTGTTTGTGGTGCTGACCATGTGTCTTCCAGAAACAATGTCCTGGCTGCTCAGGATAATCCACAGACCTCATTGTCAACAGTTTTAACCGCTTCTCAATGTAAACTGTTGACTTGTTGCTTACAGTTATGTTAACCAAAACTGTCCACATGGCTAGATGCCACCAGAAATGAGTGGGAAAATGTTTTTATATAGTTTTTGTGAAGACCCTTTAATCCATATTGTTAATAAATGCATACTTGTATAGGCTAGTATTAGTTTGAAATAAGTATAGGAATCACAGAATCCTTGAAATGAATCTTGTTAAAAGTACCTGTGTTTAAATGCTGTTGCCCTGGTAATACAGCCTATGAATTATAGTATAATAGAATTAAGAATTACATTGTAAAATACAGTACCATCAGAAATAGCTGTCTTTTCCACTGCATAAAGAGGCACAAATCTGCTGTGATGTAATCAACTGTTATGTATATAAATACCTCAGGGTATCCGAAAATATTGATCCCATACCAGTGCTCTTCTTTTTTTCCTTAATTTGATATGATAATATATTTGCCCAAACAAGTGTTGAATATGAAGCTCAATGACAGCAACAAATAGTCTTCGAGTATAAGTAAGAAGGTTTTTTGGCAAATGAGGGGGCAATGCTCATTTTTACATCTGTTCTTGACGGATTTAATATATAAAAACATTCAAAATAATGACCAGGCCTACTTTTTCTTTGAGCTTCTTAAATAATGAAAATGAGCCCCTATCTATAACCTGCTGTGAATAGCAGGATTCTGCTAATTCCTCTAATTCCCTTGCCTGTCAAACATAAAGAGGGTATTGTCAAAGCGTTGCAGCGGTGTGGTTAAAGATGGAGTACATCTATTCAGCGCACTGTTGTTTTATGAGTCAAACTGGCACAAGGTGGCAGCAATGAGTCAGGATATTTCTCTGCTTTAATTCTGTTATTTGAGAGGCTGCATGACTTCTAAACTATAGGACATTCAGGAGCCATAGTGGTAGTCTACAATGTTAAATAGGTCAGGGTAAAGTGTCAGTGTGTATATACAAAAGCCAAGATACTCTAAGACTTAGAGAAGGAGTCTAATGTTTGAGTGGTTAAACAGAAAATAAACATCATGATCTTGTTAACACTTGATGCAGTGAATGCACAATAAGAATTCATGCTTTCCCTTGTTGCTACAGCTACGCGTTAAAAGCCCTTCTTACAGTTTCCTCTGGTGGTCCGATTGGCAGACTATATTGTAACTTGTCTCTGTGACAACACAACAGGTCTATTTTCCACTTGATGGCATGGTTTACCCCATCTGCTGCGTGCTGTCCACAAGCTGAATTTGCACCAACAGAGAGTTGTGTTTGGAGGGCTTCAGGGATCGACCAGCATCCTTCTGTTTGCTGTGTTGATCATCATATTGTACCGCTGTGCCTCCGAGGAGACATCACAGTGTCGTTAGTTATAAAGTGAATCTTGAAATTTCAATTTATAAAGCAACTCACGCCGCATGTCATGCAGCAGATACTCATATTTACACACATTTAGCAAGATGTTTCTTACTTTTATGCAAGAGTTAAATAGGGATATCTGGTTAGCATCATCACATTTATCACTCAAAATAAAAAATAATGAAAAACAGATTATACTCTTTTGCTCTTGTATCATAAAGCACGGAAGAGTTTCAGTTTACTGTAAAACACACTTACTGAAATAAAAAAGATCTCATCTGTATATTAATTAGTATAAATAACATCTTCAGTGACCCAGCAGTGGCCCGTGCTTGTCGCTGCTCAGCAGTCAGTGGGTTAAAAACATTTCAGACTACATTCATCATGTAGGACCTCAATTAGCATTGATCTGCAGGGGGGGAAAGAAACATCGCTGCGTTATTATATACCATGGAGCAATTTCTGTTCCAGTGATTGAGTGTATGGGGGTATTTCTCAAACATAGCCAGCCTAACATATTTTGTCTTCCTGTCAATAATCTAGCACTTGTCTAAATTATTGATCAATAGCAACTGATCATTTTATACCTAGGCACAACAGTGAAGGTGGTCCATTTTATTCAGCATGCAGTTTTAGCCCCCGGCAGCGTGTAATATACTGTACTTATTAAAACAAAGAATAAATCTAAGTTTAATCTTTGCTGCTGCTTTCAAAGTCCTCTCTGACAGAATAACACACTGGTGTTGTTTAGAGGCTCGTGTTGTGACAGCTGGTGCACACAACAACTGCAGTCCTTCTAAAAACAGACCTTTTTCACAGCAGACATTTTGACTTGTTATAGAAAATGCACAGGTGTAACTAAGTACATTAGCGATGGCTCTTCTATTCAAGTGCCCCAGTAAGGGACTGTATCAAAGTTATGATATTATTTCATAAAAAGCAAGGCTCACCCCAGCATTACTAATATTCTATATGGAACCATATTCATTCAATCACTAATAGCTCTAATCTGTTTCTCCTCCTTATTTTGATGGGGAAAATAAATGGACATCATTTTTCTTAACAATATAAATCTCATGAGAAATGTATAAACAATTAAAATATAAATCTGGGACGAGAAAAAGTTGAAAAGACCCTCCCATTCCCTCTGACCTCCTCCCAATAATTTGTGTACAGTTCCTGAGTCATGACAGTGTGACAGTGAGCCAGCATGCACAATGCTGGGACCCTGAAACTGAAGCAGCTAAATTGAATTAAGCCATCATTCATTTTATTATTTACACTTTTCTTGATGTGACATATCAAAATATCCTCTGTCACATATTAAGGCTGTCGTATTCTCATCAGAGTCCAGACTATGAGCTGACTCAGTCAACTGTGTGGGTTTTAGGACCAAAGGAAGTTGAAAAGACAAGTTCATTCCACCTTCATACTGGCAAAATCGGGAATTAAAGTCATTCTTATAAATTAGTTTGCTCCCTTTTCCTTTGATTTTTTAATTTGATTTCAGAAGAGACATTTCTTCTCTAACTCTGACAGGAATGACAAAAAAATGTACAACAGACAAAGTGTTACTAGTGTTTGGTATTGTAAGCTATAGTATACAATTCTGATCAATCCTGTTTTGTGAGGTGAAAAAAAATAACAAAGATGGTTTCACACATTTCTTCATAACTCATCTGCAGGACACATTTACTTGATATTTGATACATCATCTAAAATATCAGTGCACTTTGGATCTCATTGAAGAACCCAAACACATGTTTGCTGTATAAAACAGGTAATATATGTTTATTGTGCTTATACATATATATTAAACTTTTTAAATCAACCTTACGGTAATCGAATGTTCCTAAAGTGTTTTTTTTCTACTTTTAAAAAGCTGTTGACCTAATAACTACAGGCCAAATGCCATTTGTCTTCTGTCACAAAAGATCACAGTCAAAAAAGAGACTTGAATGTCAATTTTACTTCAGGTAAATAAAAACCAGTCTGGAAAACCATCAGACACAAATATACTTAGAACTGATTTTCACGTAACATTAACCAACTGAATAATAAAGTAAAGAATTATCGAATTATTTTTGTTTTTCATATGAATGCAAGATTTAATTTTTTATTTTTTTATCTTCAGCATGTGTGAAAAACACATTCTGCTCAAGAAAATAATCATAAATTGGTTTAGTACACTTTTCAGCTTCATGTTAATTAAATGAAGTTCATATAAGGTGGGGAGAGAATTACTGTAGCTGTTCAGATGGGCCCAAAACTGTGTCAGAGATTTTGTTCATTTTCATATTTTTAATTAACAGACTTCTTCTCCCGTCTTCCATCAGTGAATGAGTCTTTCTTTCATTTATTTGATGTAGTTTATCTTCTCCAACCATTCATATACAACCTTATTGGATCCTGCGACTTAGGGATCCATCTTTTGGCCACCAGAGAAGCATAACTAATAACAACATTAAAGTGGCTTTGTGAGCGTGGCCATCAAAATGTCGATCAGCCAAGCAAGAAATAATTTTAAAATCAGCATGAATAAACATGTTTGGGATCTGGTGAGCTAAACTGCGAGGGGCTCAATTACAAAGATTTCGAAGGTGTTTGTGAACTTGTGGGAGATGCTGATGAACAGTCTACCTCTTCAGGGTTCATATGTGTGTCATGGATGTGAGGCTTTAATGAAAAAAGACTGTTATGTGGAGATTCAGGCCAAGCACTGTTGTGTTTTCAGCCTCTGTGTGGAATGAGTGACGATGCCACACAAGACGTCTTCAGGGTGCCGTCTAATTGAAGCGACATTTGAAGCTTTTCTAGGACTCATAACTGTCAGACCCATTAGCATCTTCCTAATTACTGTGCGCCTAACCCCAGACTGGACAGGAAACACACGGTCAGCTAGCTCCGGACCTGCTACTCACATAATTTATCTGTTCATTAAGACATTTTTTGTCATTTGCTCTGAATGAATAGAACATTATGGCCAGTGTGACTCACAACTACTCACTGCGGTGAAGATTGTGTTGGCCCAGTTTTGTTTGAGGGAAATTTAAAAAATTTGTTCTCATGCCATCAACATTTGATAAATTAAAATGATAAGAATGACACTATTTGCAATCGTGCTGAAATACTTTGATTAATTGATAAGTTGGTCAACAGAACATTAATTGCCAACAATTCTGTTAACTGATTTAGCATTTAAGTAATTTGACTAGAAAAAATGTTCAAACATTCATTGGTTCCAGCTTCTCAAATGTGAAGATTTGCTGCTTTTCTTAGTTTAAGTCATTGTTAATTGAATATATTTTGGATTTTGACTGTTGATTTAACAAAACACTCAATTTAAAGATGTCACCGTGGGCTCTGGTAATTATTTTATTTTTTCAAATCAGCTGAGCTTTTCTATCTTTCCATGTACCCCTGGTAACTGCAGAAGTACCACCTGTTTGGGAATCACTGTAGTATGGTCTGTAGCATAGCCGGAGTTGTGGGTGTTGTTCAGTATAACACATATTAGTTGTAAAGAATCTTTAGGCCTTTAAGTTTGCACTATAGAATTTCCTGATCAGTTAATCCCTCCAGAAATGAGATGATTCACTTCATGGTCTTTACAAGTCATGGTTCTGCCACTCCTTTAAAAGCAAGTACATTTCTCCACTTTCTCACAGTCCTGCTATTGAAGAGGTGACCTTCCTCCTGTCAGACAGTCCCCCGCCCTGCCCCAGGCTTGAGTTCAGCAGCCCAATTCTGAACACCCAGAGGCCAAGTTTCTGTAGCTACGCTCAATTTGCCTGCGATATAAACACACTGATTTACGTAATAGAGAATATGTATACAATAAGCAATGATGAGGATTCGTCCTGGCAGGAGCATTTTGCCCTCTGACTAATCTGAGCTGCTAAATTGTGAGTAACTGTGTTGAACTTGTGTCCTCCAGCCAGCAGAGATCAGAGTTCAGCGTTCTGCCATAATCACTGATCACATCTTGTTATGCTTGGTGGACACTGAAAGATGCTAGAGGCTGTCTCATCATTTGCTTTGTGGGG